ATTATGTCCATATTATCCACCCCCCACCGTCATTTTTCCATTTAGTAACAGCAAACATTTTGCCGAGGTAAGCAAAAACATGAATATTCATGAACGGTCAGACAATACAGCCTTTTAGTACGTAACGTATAGTGAATGGGAATGGGCGATGATCCATCCAGGAGGTAGAGGTCAGTGGTTTGTGCTGGCAATGTTCCAGCTAGCGAAAATGAGACAACCGGAGCAATATGATACATTAAATTACCGTCAGATGAGCATATTTTGATACCTTATTTGTGACACTGGCAGGTCACGAATTGAGGTGGGAACCAGGGGACGAAGCCTCCGGAAGCTCAGGGGTTTCGGGCAATATATTACGGTCATATGAGCATATTTGGATACCTTATTTGTGACACTGCCATGACACAAATTGGTGTTGGGTCCAGGGGGCAGAGCCCCCGGAAGCAGGCATTGAATTACGGTTAGATGTGCATATTCTTATATCTTATTTATGACACTACCAGGTCACGAAGAGGCGTGGGGTACCGGGGGGGGGGGGGCGGAGCCCCCGGAGGCTCAGCGGTGTCAGGTAATATATAACGTTCAGATGATCATCCAGGGGATCGCGTTAGCGTCTTTGGTTGGGTCGAAGGGGCGGAGCCCCCAAAAGCTCAGGGGTTTTTGGCATTTTATAATGGTTAGACAAGCACGCAAGGGCGCCCTTAGGGCCACCGGTGGGGTCGAGGGGGCGGAGCCCCGGAAATTTAGGGGATTTAGGCATTTAATGTCAGATGAACATATTTTGATACCTTATTTGTAACACTGGCATGACACTAATTAGCGTGAGGTCCAGGGGGCCGAGACCCCAGAAGCTCAGGGGTTTTGGGCAATAAAGTACGGTCAGATGAGTAATTTTTATACCCTTTTTGTGATACTGACAGGACACAAATTGGTGTTGGGTCCAGGGGGCGGAGCCCCCATAAGCTCAGGGTTTTATACATTAAATAATCTTCAGATGAGCATATTTTTTTACCTTATTTGTGACACTGGTAAGTCAGAAATTGGCGTGGGGTCCAGGGGGCGGAGCCCCCGGAACCTCAAGGGTTTTGGGCAATACATTACCGTCAGATAAGCATATTTTGATACCTGATTTGTGACACTGGCATGATACAGATTGGTGTCGGGTCCACGGGTGAAGCCCCTAGAAGCTCGGGGGTTTTTGGCAATAACTTACTGTCAGATGAGCATATTTTATACCTTGTTTGTGACACTGGAAGGTCACGAATAGGCGTGGGGTACGGGGGGCGGAACCCCGGAGGCTCAGGGCTTTAGGTATTTAATTACGCCAAATGAGTACAATGATACCTTATTTGTGACACTTGCAGGTCACTAATTGGTGTGGGGTCCAGGGGGCGGAGCCCCCAAAAGCTCAGGGGTTTTATGCATTTGATAATGGTCAGAAAATCATGCAGGGGCCCGTCTTAGGGCTCCGGGTGGGGTCGAGGGGGCGGAGCCCCTAGAAATTTAGGGGATTTAGGCATTTAATGACGGTCAGATGACATATTTTGATACCTTATTTGTAACACTGGCAGGACACTAATTGGAATGAGGTCCCGTGGCCGAGACCCAAGAAGCTCAGGGGTTTTGGTCAATAAATTACGGTCAGATGAGCATATTTTTATACTTTATTTGTAACACTGGCAGGTCACGAATTGGCGTGGGGTCCAGGGGGCGGAGGCCCCGGAGGCTCAGGGGTGTGTAGGCATTGAATTACCGCCAGATGAGCATATTTTGATACCTTATTTGTGACACTGGCAGGTCACGGATTGAGGTGGGATCATTTTTTTGTTGTTGCTTTCTTAAGCACAAAAAGAAAAGTAAAAAATCTTTCCCTTTTTTCCCTTTTTTTTTGCCAGGGGGAGGGGGGCGGCTCCCCTGGATCCGCCAATGACGCACAGGGCATTTAAAATAGCCTCTGATTGATTTTCGTTATTTACAGGAGTCTGCTAACAGTATAAAGGGAGATGATAAAAAAAGTAACCAATATGACTCGATATTCCGTTCAGTAATATTTAGTAATAACAATAATCATTTGGATATATCGCTTAATACGAAAAACCGTTGCTTCGCGCTCTACAAATTATTATCATTTCCACCTGGTCATCAGATTTATTTACGCACATCTTCTACCATCTCTACTCTCTGGGGTGTGTTCTTACCGTAATGGTCACCGTGAGGGTATATGGCAATTACTAACACAAAGGTTTTCGTAATTCTACCCGGTCCCCATTTCTCTCCTGTGTATGGGGTGGAAAATATAGATTAATACTTTGCCAAATAACATAAGTGCTGTGTCGGTGATCGGCCCCACGACCTTTGCATTTTAAGCCAAGTTATTTAAGTCAAACAACTTTTCTTTTTTGTAAAATCAAAATTTCTTCGTTTTATTCTTTATATTTTAGAGGCTTCCTTGGTTATGTCAGCAGAGGCGGCGCAGTGCCCCCACTTTTTCAAGTATCCCAAAGTGCCCCTTTTAACACAGAAAAGCGCCCCTTTTTACATAAAACTGCCCTTTTACTTTGACAAGTGCCCCTATTGAGTTTTTAAAAGTGCCTCTTCCCCTTTCCACCTCTGATAGGCGCTCCTTTTATTTAGATACGTATCCCTTTTCCTTCGACAAGCTCCCATTTTCCTTTGCAATAAGTGTCCATTTTTTCCAATCTCATAGGTGCCCTTTTCATCTCTAGTAAGTGGCCCTTTTCAGGTACGAAGAGTGCCCCTTTTTCAATTTTGATAAGCGCACCTCCAACCCTAATAATTGCCCTATTCAAATCTGAGAGGTGCCCCTTCTACTTTGACATGTGCCCCTGTTTCTTTGTAAGAAGTGCCCCTTCCTCTTTTACATATGGAAACGTTGTATCATCCGCTCAATCTGACTTGCATGCATAGAACAAATAAGCATTTTTCCATGAAAAAGTGAAGTTTTCTCAAATGTGCGTTTCTTTTCAGCATTGGGGCGCCCGGGAGTCACTCAGGTAACATTTCATAAAGTATAATATAAAAAGACCATATGCAAATTTTCTGTACTTTTGTCGGAAAAAATACATTTATCCAATACAATGTCGTCTCTTTTTGCGTTGGAGAAGAGCAAATAGCGAGTTTCAATCACACTTTGGTCGCTCTCGCAAGCTCTCACTCGTTTCACTGTGGTCAAGCGACTTTGGGGCAAGCGGTTAATGAAAATACTAATTGTTAGCTTTCTTCTGGTATTAAACTTGTTTTTATTGATTGTATAATTTTGTCGGAATAAAGGAAACAAAAAGGCTCGACCAATAACTTATCAGCGTCTGAATTGACCTTTTGACCTTGAATTCCCTGATGAAAGCGCACTAATGACGTCATCTTCGCTAAGTCGGTGTCTTTTATCGTAAAATGCGACACTTTCACAATGTTTATACATCTTTTTTAATTATTAGTAAGATATAACATATTTTTTCTGATATCACTGAAGTTGTGGGTTTTATTTAACGAGTAATTTTAAAATAAGAGCCATTTTACTGTCTTAATGTACTGGATCATACCATTAAAGTCGCAGGGTAGAAAGATACATTTTCCAACCGCGCCAAATTTAATTTACGTTCCGACATTCTGTTAAATGGGTTCGTTTTGTTAATAATCCACTGCTTTCTGCTCCAACAAACGTCTACATGCGGAGTCGATTATCAACTAAATTATTCAAATTTATGGATGCTTCCTAGTTTCCCAGGTGTGTGTTGTTGAAGCATTTCATTCACCTGCTATCATTCTTTGTACTCCAATTGCCTGAACGCAAATTTCATTTTGGTTTTATAGTTTGATCGGAGTCGCTTATCAATTATGTATTCAAATTTATGAATGCTTCCTTCCCATTGTTTATGCATTTCATTCACCTGTTATTATTCTTTGTACTCCAATTGTTAGAATACAAAATGCATTTGGGTTTTAAAGTTTCATGCAATAAGTAAGTCAATACAAGAGAATGTTCTGCACAATAAAGATAATGTGTGTCCCTGTTGTACAATGTAATGTGTCCCCTCATTTTGTAATAGTTAATTTACCCACTAACATAATGGAACTACCTACCCGATGAAGCCAGTGGCCTTTGACCCCTAAGCACTCAACACCGTGTGGGAGTCAGTTTGGGTTTACTTCTTTTATGAGACAAATACAAGCAAACGTTTACATATGTAACTACCCCCTTTTTAACTCCGATAAGCACACCTTATACGTGCCCCTAATTTCAAGCGACTAAAAGCAATATCCCCCAAAGCTCGCTCGCTACGCACGCTCGCATTAATAACAGTTATGTTACTTATCAAAGGTCTTTTTAGTCTTTTGTTATGAGAATGTGCCTATAACCCCATCAGGATTCCTCTTTATAAAACGTAATTTTTCGCACTGAGACCTCACAAATCTTAATTTTTTTCCTCGCTCGCTTTGATTGCTCGCAAATGAATTTTCGGACCATCACACCCAACTGCAAAGTATGATGCTTTTAAAGCATATCTTATATGATGTTTAAAGATTAAAAAAATATTGAAATTATCCCTGATAATGTAATCACAATATAGGGGTATATACCAATGTCAAAAAATTTGTATATTTTCGCTTTGAGATTTTCCTATGTAGGTGCCCTGTTTTTCTCCAGAAAGTGCCCTTTTTTGTTGGTGTCCCCCCCCCCCACTTTGGAAGTCGCTCCGCCGCCTCTGTATGTCAGTGAATGGAAAATCACACCATATGCCATTAGATACTTGAACTTAAAGCGCAAAATTAAGTGGTTTGTCGATTTCCTAAGGGTGCACGGTATATCCTGTTCTCGAAAGGTGATCCTGATAAACCTCTTACCAACACCAACATGCTGGTGGCTTTTGATCTTTAAATTTGTCTCTATCGGAGTCTGCTTCTCAAGTCTAACCGCAAAATTCTCAAGAAAATAAAATTGCGAGAACAGCGAGTTAAGTCGTCAGAGTACACCTGGAACGGGTCGAAGGTGTTAGCTAAAGCATCAGCGAAGAGCCTATCATCAACCGACTTTGAATTGGCGACCTCATCTTTCCAGCGTGTATCACACATCGCCATCTCAACATCAAAATGATGTTCAAGGCTTATCTAGTAGTGTGCTTCTTAGCAACAGCGGCGAACGCTCAGAGTAGTAAGTCAGAAAAATTGAATTAATTATCCTTATGATCAAAATGATGCATCTGTAGAATGTATTTCTTCTTTTGTTTCAAGTAAGGGTGTAGATTTGTCCTCGGCAAAAATCGGGAGAAAGGAACTAAAGCATCTTGTCCGAATTTCAACCATCCTGTTTCTAAATTTGCGAGTGAGCATAGCGAGCGAGAAAAATAAAAGCTTTACTATGCTAAAACAGTTATGTAGTAGTCATTAAACAAAATATAAAATGGCGAGATTATGGCGTTACATTATTCCGACACCTCGCTAAAATAGGAGGATATCCGAACACCTCACCGCCTGAAACCATCCTCTTTTCTTAATTTTGTGAGTGAGCGAAGCGAGTGAGCCAAATAAACGATACTTTCTATCTTTACAGTCTTATATCATCACCAAAAACACGGTAAATAATATGATTATGAGAATGTTTATTTTCTTGCACCTTGCTGCCCTTATAATAATGAGCATGTTCCGGCACCTAGCAGAGGTGACGATTGCCCAAATATCGGAACGGTTGATGTCCGGGGGGGGGGGGGGTTCTCTATTAATTCTCTATTATTTTATGATGCATTTTAGTGAATGAAAATCTTCGCGGATTCGAGGATAATTTAGATTTGGCTTTTATATCAAAGCCAGTATTGTTTTTAAAAACGACGAGTAGCTGGAACGTGCCCAAGGTGTGCAGAATGTGCACAGTAATGGATAGAATTGTAATTGAATCATATGTGACCAAGATTATGTTGGGTGTCCGGACACATAGAGTCTTCTCTTTTGCCTTCGGATGTAACGGAACATATTCATCAAATAGCACTAACCATCATGAATATATTTAGTCCTTTCATAGTATTGCCCAACATGAGTCTTATAGAAGATTTATTAAACATTGCGTGTGTACTTCATCAGAATGCTGTTTTAATTCAGCTGTCCGGAAACACAATCTGTCCGGAAGCGTTACGTCTAGGCACTGAAGACGCTTTGGTCGGTTAACTTACAAAGTGTTGAACTGAACTGTGATTTATAAGAATCAATTGTTTGTATCATCATCATCATCATCATCATCACCATCATCATCGTCATCATCATTATTAGTCCAAAACTGTGGGCACTTTGAAGATGCCGGAGTCCGCCGTTCTGAGTTAAATTTTGAAGGTAGAATGTTTGTCTAAACATCCCATTGATTCTTAAAACTATCAAGTCCAATTCACAGAGTATTTGGTGTAGCGCCCTTTACTTGCTGGTCTTGGAAACAACAAATGTGGAAACAGGCGCGCAGGAAGCAGTTTAGGATTGGGGGTAATTGGGGAGGGGGAGGCAAATTTTAAGGGGGCTCACCTTTTAGGGGCAGTGTCATGCTGAGCAAAAGCGTTTTAGTGGCAGAAGAAAAAAATCTGCATCACGACCACTGTTATTATTTTACATGTGGGCCCCGCGGAACGTTTTTCAAAGTAAAGTATTAACGATCATGTAGAGCGAAGCGAGTGAAGCGTAAATTGGCGTGGGGTCCAGAGGCTTTGCCACCCTGGGGTCAAGGTGCGGAGCCCCCGTAAATTTAGGTGTTTTAGGCAATTAATTATGGTTAGATAATGGTATTTAGATCCCTTATTTGTGATACTGGCAGGTCACTAATTCGCATGGGGTCCAGGTAGACTAAGCCCATGAAGCTCAGGGGTTTGAGGTATTTAAATATGATCAGATGAGCATCAAGGGGCCCGCCTTAGGGCCCTTGGTGGGGTTCAGGGGGAGGATCCCCTGTATTATGCCACTGGCTGGTCACTGTTTGTTCTTACTTTCTCTCTTTCTTTCTTTTGCTCTTTAACGAACCTTTTTTTAATGGGGGGGGGGGGGGGGGGGGGGCTCGAGCCCCCCGAGCACCGCCGTTCTGCAGTTTCTGACATGAAGGTTTGTCATATTTGAAGTTTCCAAAAACTCCGACTCTCTTTATTTTTGTTTGGATTTCATTCAAACTTTCTCCAGTCTGCCTTTTTTAATATTTTAGTCAGCTTTCTTGTTTCTTTGTTTGCTATTAATATTGGATTTCCCTTCGAATGCCATATATCGCATATTACACTATGATATAACGTCTCTATGCGATTACAAAGGAGTTATGAAGCTATCCCCAGCTTAAGCTCAAAATCATCATCATCATCATCATCATCATTATCATCATCATCATTATAATGATCACCATCGTCATTGTAATTATCATTATGAATATTTTGTTATTATAATTATTACTATAATTATTACCCCCATTATTATTATTGTTGTCATCATCATCATCATTATTATATATCTTTAGTTCACATTTTCGTTCATATCATTATTAGTATCTCTCTTTCGCATAATAGTTTTAGTAGTACGACTGGTTGATGGAAGCGATGCAAGCGAAGGCAGAGTTGAGGTTTATAACAATGGAACCTGGGGAACTGTCTGTGATGACTCGTGGGATGACACCGATGCAGGAGTTGTCTGCCGAAGTCTCGGATTCCATTCCGGAACTCGGGTACTAGGAAGCCCTGCATTCGGACAAGGTTCAGGGGATATCCTCCTGGATGACGTATCATGTAATGGAACCGAAACCAATCTTGGTGATTGTTCTAATGCTGGTCTCGGTGTCCATAACTGTGCGCACTTTGAGGATGCTGGAGTACGCTGTTCAACAGGTAGAATGTTTGTCTAGACCTCCCATTTATTCTTATTCTATTCCTATAGCGACGTACTCGAAAATAGTGATGTAAGATTTTACCATGGAGTTAGTAAAACTCCATGATTTTACAGCCCGTTGGACAATTTTGAATGATTAGTTACAAATCGCTCTAATTCGAGAGTCATACAACTTATGGCATTAGCACTATACTTTAAAATGTCTGTGAATTTTACTTTCTCTGCTCATGTATAATGTTTAAATCCTAGCATTCTAAATCAAACTATATCGCAAAACGTCACTAAAAGGAGACATCAATAAATCGTACGGCTGTGCATTGTCAAACCTTGGCATCTTAACGGACAATTCAACCATTGTAACAAGTTCATTAATTTTGTTTGTAAGCAGAAAATTAACATATACGGAGGGCGAAAGATTGAAATAAGTCTGTAATAAGAGAATCATGAATGTTTGACCTAAAAGATCACTTAAGCTTTGCAAATCTGATATTGGCAATTTTTTCAGTAAATTGAGACGTTGTCATGGACAACTCTCTCGTTTGTCGGATACAAAAATATAACTCATTTATGTTTTTCTCCCAAGTGCTTTCGCCCTTGGGAACACTCCTCAAAATATATTATTGATAGTATATTATTGTAGGTCCTCTAAAGAGAAAAGACCATCCCGGGTCATACATTAGCTAAAAAAAGATGACAATTTAGTCATTTTGTGTTGGAACAAATGAAAAAGTTGCCGGCGCTATATCAGTGAAATTACCGATTCATAATATCTTAAAGTTCCAATTCCTAAAGTATTACCACTATCAAACAATCGCAACTCTCTCATTTTTTTTTGTTCGATTTCGTTCAAACTTTGACCACTCTTCTTCTTTAATTTTAGTCTGCTTTCTTTTATAGCTGTTTTCTATTAATGTTGGATTTCTCAATAAATGCCGTTGATCGCATATTGCATTATAATATGATAATACGTTGCTATGCGATTCCAAATGATTTGGATAATTACCCTATCTTAAGCTTATAATCATCATCATCACAATGATCACCATCATCATTATCATTGTTAACACTATTGTTATCATTGCTACTACTAACGTAGCACAATGACCACTTATACAACAGGTCGATAAAACTATGGTGTAGTTTAGGAAAAGATTTGTAAGATTTTCGATTGATTTATAAGGGGTTTTGTTTATTTTTCCAAAAAAAATTCAGCACATATTAAATTAAAAACAATAACAAATATTTGTGTGTGAAGTAGTTCGACTGCTTTACTAACACCGATTTCATCAAATGCACTGTACTGTTCTGTTTCAGGTGTTCGTCTCGTCGATGGTACCATGCTAGGATCAGGTAGAGTTGAGGTACTTTACAATGGAGAATGGGGAACTGTCTGCAATGACGGGTGGGACTTGACTGATGCCAACGTAGTATGTAGGTCCCTTGGACTGGGTGCCGCAAGAGTAGCTTTCTGGGCTGCTGTCTTTGGTGAAGGCACAGGAACCATCGTTTTGGATGACGTCTCTTGCTCTGGTGACGAAACGAGTATCTTTGACTGTGGGAATTCGGGTCTTGGAACCAACAACTGTGGTCATTCAGATGACGCAGGTGTAATATGTGAACACGGAGGTATGAACATGGGCGTGTGCAGGATTTCGGGATGAAGGGGGGAGATGGGGTGGAACATAAGGTTTTTGTTCCAAGAATGTCAGGACCCTTCCAACCTTGGGGCCGGGGATCCCACCTCGAATGGGCTTTCGACGGTTTTGTTGTAGCTCCAAAATGTAGGTACGTTAGCTACCCGCATATACCCCAAACCACACATTTTGTTTTCCCTTTTTTTCTTCATAATTGTTTCATAATATTTCATAAAGAAAATGTTGAATGAATATTTTTTTAGATTTCACATCTCTTTAAGCACCACTTCATCCACAGTTATTTTCACCACTTATTAGGCTTGAAATGGTAGCAGGGTAGGTTGATATTAGAGGGTACAGAGCGATCAAATAAGAAGCTTATTGATATACTGCAAAATTGTTGGAATGTAGATCACGGACAAGGCAAAAAACGACTTTTTCGTCCCCTTAATGATGGCGGGAAACAATATGGTTTCCGCAGTCTTTAGTAACTCCGCATCTAAAAATTTGCGAGGGTGCGTAACGACCGAGTGACAAAATTTTGTCTTTAGATTTTTTGTTCCTTGTGCCTTTTTTTGTTGTTGATAGGGGTTCAAAGCCCCCTCACATTTCTACTGTTTTAATACTGTCAAGTCTGATATTATCCAATCAAATGAAACAATTTCAGTAGCTTATAACTGTAAGCTGTTATTGATAATAATTTCTATGAAACAGGGCTCTCCATATAGTTACGTCGTTGTTCTCTGCCGGTTTTCCTTGTCCTGTTTCTCTCCGTTTCATTTTTTTTGTGAGTGTTTTTTCTATTGCCTCCCGGTAATTTGTTTTACTTTACTAAGTGGTGGCGTTAAAAGAACACTTATGCTCCCCCACCTCTATCATTCTCTCTCTCTCTCTCTCTTTCACGAATAATGTATAGTACGACTGGTTGCTGGAAGCAATGCAAGCGAAGGCAGAGTTGAGGTTTATTACAATGGAGCCTGGGGAACTGTCTGTGATGACTCGTGGGATGACACCGATGCTAGAGTTGTGTGCCGAAGTCTTGGATTCGATTCTGGAACTGGGGTACTAGGAAGCCCTGCATTCGGACAAGGTTCAGGGGAAATTCTCCTGGATGATGTATCATGTACCGGAACCGAAACCAATATTGGTGATTGTTCTAATGCTGGTTTAGGCGTCCATAACTGTGGGCACTTTGAAGATGCCGGAGTCCGCTGTTTTGAGTTAAATTTTGAAGGTAGAATGTTTGTCTAAACATCCCATTGATTCTTAAAACTATCAAGTCCAATTCACAGAGTATTTGGTGTAGCGCCCTTTACTTGCTGGTCTTGGAAACAACAAATGTGGAAACAGGCGCGCAGGAAGCAGTTTAGGATTGGGGGCAGTGGGGGAGGGGGAGGCAAATTTTAAGGGGGCTCACCTTTCAGGGGCAGTGTCATGCTGAGCAAAAGCGTTTTAGTGGCAGAAGAAAAAAATCTGCATCACGACCACTGTTATTATTTTAAATGCGGGCCCCGCGGAACGTTTTACAAAGTAAAGTATTAACGATCATGTAGAGCGAAGCGAGTGAAGCGTAAATTGGCGTGGGGTCCAGAGGCTTTGCCACCCTGGGGTCAAGGTGCGGAGCCCCCGTAAATTTAGGTGTTTCAGGCATTTAATTATGGTTAGATAAGCGTATTTAGATCCCTTATTTGTGACACTGGCAGGTCACTAATTCGCATGGCGTCCAGGTGGACTAAGCCCATGAAGCTCAGGGGTTTGAGGTATTTAAATACGGTCAGATGAGCATTAAGGGGCCCGCCTTAGGGCCCTTGGTGGGGTTCAGGGGGAGGATCCCCTGTATTATGCCACTGGCTGGTCATTGTTTGTTCTTACTTTCTCTCTTTCTTTCTTTTGCTCTTTAACGAACCTTTTTTTTAATGGGGGGGGGGGGGGGGGCTCGAGCCCCCTGAGCACCGTTGTTCTGCAGTTCCTGACTTGAAGATTTGTCATATTTGAAGTTTCCAAAACTCCGACTCTCTTTATTTTTGTTTGGATTTCGTTCAAACTTTGACCACTCTTCTTTTTCAATTTTAGTCTGCTTTCTTTTATAGCTGTTTGCTATTAATGTTGAATTTCCCAATAAATGCCGTTGATCACATATTACATTATAATATGATAATACGTCGCTATGCGATTCCAAATGAGTTGGATAATTACCCTATCTTAAGCTTATAATCATCATCATCACAATGTTCACCATCATCATTATCATTGTTATCACTATTTTTATCATTGCTACTACTAACGTAGCACAATGACCACTTATGCAACATGTCGATAAAACTATGGTGTAGTTTAGGAAAAGATTTGTAAGATTTTCGATTGATTTATAAGGGGTTTTGTTTATTTTTCAAAAAAAATTTCAGCACATATTAAATTATAAATAATAACAAATATTTGTGTGTGAAGTAGTTCGACTGCCTTACTTACACCGATTTCATCAAATGCACTATACTGTTCTGTTTCAGATGTTCGTCTCGTCGATGGTTTTATGCTAGGATCAGGCAGAGTTGAGGTATTTTACAATGGAGAATGGGGAACTGTCTGCGATTACAGGTGGGACTGGTTTGATGCCAACGTAGTATGTAGGTCCCTTGGACTGGGTAGGGCAATAGCAGCTTTCTGGGCTGCTTTCTTTGGTGAAGGCACAGGAACCATCGTTTTGGATGACGTCTCTTGCTCTGGTGACGAAACGAGTATCTTTGACTGTGGGAGTGCGGGTCTTGGAACCAACAACTGTGGTCATTCAGAAGACGCAGGTGTAGTATGTGCAAACGGAGGTATGAACATGGGCGTGTGCAGGATTTCGGGATGAAGGAGGGGGGGGGGGGAGGGGGGTGGAACATAAGGTTTTTGTTCCAAGAAGGTCAGGGCCCTTCCAACCTTGGGGCCGGGGACCCCACCTCGAATGGGCTTTCGACGGTTTTGTTGAAGCTCCAAAATGTAGGTACGTTAGCTACCCGCATATACCCCAAACCACACATTTTGTTTTCCATTTTTTTCGTCATAATTGTTTCATAATATTTCATAAAGAAAATGTTGAATGAATATTTTTTAAATTTCACATCTCTTTATGCACCACTTCATCCACAGTTATTTTCACCACTTATTAAGCTTGAAATGGTAGCAGGGTAGGGTAATATTAGAGGGTACAGAGGGATCAAATAAGAAGCTTATTGATATACTACAAAATCGTTGGAATGTAGATCACGGACGAGGCAAAAAACGACTCATTCGTCCCCTTAATGATGGCGGAAAACAATATGATTTCCGCAGTCTTTAGTAACTCCGCATCTAAAAATTTGCGAGGGTGCGTAACGACCGAGTGACAAAATTTTGTCTTTAGATTTTTTGTTCCTTGTGCCTTTTTGTTGTTGATAGGGGGTCCAAAGCCCCCTCACATTTTTACCGTTTTAATACAGACAAGTCTGCTCTAATCCGATCAAATGAAGTATTTTCAGTAGCTTATAACTGTAAGCTGTTATTGATAATAATTTCTATGATACAGGGCCCTCCATAGTAACGTCGTTGTTTCTCTGCCGGTTTTTCTTGTCCTTTTTCTCTCCGTTTCATTTTTTTGTGAGTGTTTTTTCTATTGCCTCCCGGTAATTTTTTTACTTTACTAAGTGATGGCGTTAAAAGAACACTTATGCTCACCCACCTCTATCATTCTCTCTCTCTCTCTCTCTCTTTCACGAATAATGTATAGTACGACTGGTTGACGGAAGCGATGCAAGCGAAGGCAGAGTTGAGGTTTATATCAATGGAGCCTGGGGAACTGTCTGTGATGACTCGTGGGATGATACCGATGCTAGAGTTGTCTGCCGAACTCTTGGATTCGATTCTGGAACTGCGGTAGGCAACGCTGAATTCGGACAAGGTTCAGGGGATATCCTCCTGGATGACGTATCATGTACTGGGACCGAAACCGATTTTAGACTTTGTTCGAATGCTGGTTTCGGTGTCCATAACTGTACGCACTTTGAGGATGCTGGAGTACGCTGTTCAACAGGTAGAATGTTTGTCTAGACCTCCCATTTATTCTTATTCTATTCCAGGGGCACAATTTTCAGGGCCAGTGTCGTAATGAGCAAACACCTTTTTTTTTGGGGGGGGGGGGGGGCAAAAGTCTGCATCACCACTCCTCTTATTTGTTACATGCAGGCCCTGCGGATCGTTTTTCAAAGTGAAGTATTAACGATCATGAAGAGAGAAGCGAGTGAAGCGTACATTGGCGTGGGGCTTTGCCCCGCTGGGGTCAAGGCGCGGAGCCCCCGTAAGTTTAGGTGTTTAGGCATTTAATTATGGTCATATAAGCGTATTTAGATCCCTTATTTGTGATACTGGCAGGTCACTACTTCGCATGGGGTCCAGGGGGACTAAACCCTATGAAGCTCAGGGGTTTGAGGTATTTAAATACGGTCAGATGAGCATCCAGGGGCCCGCCTTAGGGCCCTTGGTGGGGTTCATGAAGGGGGAGGATCCCCTGTATTATGCCACTGGCAGGTCACTGTTTGTTCTTACTTTCTCTCTTTCTTTCTTTTGCTCTTTAACGAACCTTTTTTAATGGGGGGGGGGGGGGGGGGGGGTCTCGAGCCCCCCGAGCCTCGCCGTTCTGCAGTTCCTGACATGAAGATTTGTCAAATTTGAAGTTTACAAAAACTCCGACTCTCTTTATTTTTGTTTGGATTTCGTTCAAACTTTCACCAGTCTGCTCTTTTGATTTTAGTCAGCTTTCTTATATCTTTGTTTGCTATTAATGTTGGATTTTCCTTTGAAAGCCATATATCGCATATTACACTATGATATAACGTCTCTATGCGATTACAAAGGAGTTGGTTAACTATCCCAGCTTAAGCTCATAATTATCATCATCATTATCATCATCATCATCGTAATGATCACCATCGTCATTGTAATTATTATCATGAATATTTTGTAATCATAATTATTGCTATAATTATTACCCCCATTATAATTATTGTTGTCATCATCATCATCATCATTATTATATATTTTTAGTTAACATTTTTGTCCATATCATTACTATTACCTCTCTTTCGCATGATAGTTTATGTAGTACGACTGGTTGATGGAAGCGATGAAAGCGAAGGCAGAGTTGAGGTTTATGCCCGTAACAATGGAGCCTGGGGAACTGTCTGTGATGACTCGTGGGATGACACCGATGCTAGAGTTGTCTGCCGACATCTTGGATTCGATTCTGGAACTGGGGTAGGAAACGCTGAATTCGGACAAGGTTCAGGGGATATCCTCCTGGATGACGTATCATGTACTGGAACTGAAACCAATCTTGGTGATTGTTCTAATGCTGGTTTCCGTGTCCATAACTGTGTGCACTCTGAAGATGCCGGAGTCTTTTGTTCCGGTCAGACAGTATCAGCAGGTATGTTGTTGATCTAATACTTTCCAATCTATTATTCACATAGTATTTGGTGAAGCACCTTTTCCTTGCTGGTCTCGGAAACAACCACTGTGGACATCATGAAAATGCAAGCGTGCGATGCCAAACTGGATGGATTCATATCTACTCCTAACGTGCACTACCTAGACAGTTTCTCAACGTTATGTTCAACTCCTTCATTATTAGAAAAAGAATATGTTTATTAAATGAACCATAGTGAAAGGAGATTGAAAAATTTAACCCCAAAGCTGCAAATTTAAACACGAAAAAACTTTTATACAAACTTTAGCGACTTGAATGATTAGTTACATTATTCTAGGAACCTCACATCGTACTATATTGAAAATGGCGGACTTTAAAATGTCTGTGATGTTTTGTTTTCTTTGCTCGCGTATAATGTGTAGATCCTAGCCTTCAAAATTTAAGGACATCGCAAAACGTCACTAAAAGGAGACATTAATGATACGGCTGTTGGTCAAATATTGACATCTTAAACTTCGTATCAACAATATTAATATTTTTTGTTATTTTTTTCGTATTATTAAAATAATCTCTTTTGCATCATAACTGTAGAATTACGACTGGTTGATGGAACCTGCAACAGCGAAGGCAGAGTTGAGATTTTCTACGACGGAGTCTGGGGAACGATTTGTGATGACTTCTGGGATGACACCGATGCTGGAGTTGTCTGCCGAAGTCTTGGATACAGCTCGGGAACTGCGGTAGGAAGCGCTGAATTCGGACAAGGTTCAGGGGATATCATATTCGACAATGTTGAGTGTTCCGCTGGAGATACTGCTCTGGAGTATTGTCGGAGCAATGCTCCCTTCGATAATAACTGCTCGCACGCCGAAGATGCCGGTGTCAGATGCACTGAGTGAAGGTAAATACTAAGCATGACCCGGCACGGCTCATAAAACATATCATCAATACCAAGTTAAGATAACTGTTACAAACTACATAAAGAACTATATCAGGAACCCGTTTCACAAAACCTTTTTTCAATGACAAATGACAAAAATCAGTGATAAATCTGCTTATAACCAATCAGAAGCTAGGGGTTCAGTAGCTTATAACAAAAACTGTCATTTGTCACTGATGACAAGTTTGTGAAATGGGGCCCTGATTGGCTGTAAGCGAATTTGTCATTGAACTTTGACACTTGTTATTGACGGTAAGTTTAATGAAACGAGGGTATAGGGGGAGGGGGCGCAGCAGAGGGTACATTCCAAGTCATCCAAATGTTAGGGTATATGTAGATATTAAATTCATAATTTAGACCTATTATTATTACTATTTCTAGTTATTGTTGTTGTTGTTGTCAGGGAATGCTTCAACCCAAACGGCAAACCTGTTACCTGGTTCCATTTTAGGGCCTTTTCATAGAACTTTCGGACTTACTTGTGCAGCCCCTTCTACTTCTTTATGATAAATCAACTTAATCCATTCTTCCCATTGTCTGGTAGTTCTTTTCATCCATGACGTCATGGTGTGTGAAGGATGATAACAGTTTTTTAGGACGTCTTGAAGTATATATAGCTAAAACCAAAAATAATTCTCATCAATTGTTATTCTTATCATGCATTTTAACTTAAAACATGTAAGTGAGTTATGTGGATGTTTGTAGAATCATTAACACCTGAAAATTCAAAGTAGCTTCTATTTTATTTCTATTATTTATAATTTTGCAGACGATGCTGAGAAAACGTGTACACCTCGAGCGTTCCAGCGACCCGATTAAAAAAAATAATTTGCCACTCTCTTCCATCTATACTCTTCTTCATTTTTATCTATTATCAACGATTTAACTCTTATATATCTCCATTGCATTTGGTGAGTTGGTATTGTAAAACACATTGAGGTATAATGTTCACCGTAGGTTTTAAAAATGCTAAAGTTGGCTTTGTGTAGTGCACAGCTGTCTCCTTTTTTTACCGGTTGCTCGTGCTTTTTATAATAATTTAATAGTCACTATTCATAGAAGGTGTTTGTTACGAAAGCCGAAAATATATACCTAGATAATTCCATAAACTGAATAAATATCAATAACTACAAGATCTTTTTCACTGATGATCAAGGAAAATGAAAACGAAATACGTCATATCACAATGATATTTTATAGGTATCACTCCAAGTAAACAAAAAAAAACAAAAAAAAAACAAACAAACCAATTGCTAAATCAATTTTAGTGATTAGTGGTAATGAAAGTCACATTTTTAAAGCTGATTTATTTCGGTCAAGAATATACAGTCATTCTGTATTATAATGGCTTCAAGACACATATTATACAGAACTACGTATTATATGATGACATTTTAAAGTGTTTTCTTTAAATGAAAATCCTAATCAAATCTAAAGTGGATTTAAATTAATTCTAATATTTTCCCTACATTTATTAGATATTCAATCATCTTGGGGACGGAAATTTCGATATTGATCACCATGTATTTCAAATCGTAATTTTCTTGTATGATTTTGATAGATAATCAAAATTGGTTGGATAATGTGAAATAAAACTATTTAAATCGTAAAATCTGGGGGTCATTCGTCGATATCCAAATGTTTTGTGTAGAACTGTTGGTGTTTTGGGTACAAAGAATTTGATAGTCGAAACTTTTTCACACCTCCCTTCAATATGATTATGATTTAGTGGTAGGGGTCTACTAACTGGATACAAATTGAAATTATTCTCTGGTATCTTTGGGATTAAAATCTTTCTGCATTGCACGTTGTTTGTATCGTATGTTCCTTTGTCTACGGTCTCAAAGAATTTCAAGATTTCTACTCAAAGGCAATTTCAATACCCTATACCGTGTGTCTCAAAAAAAACGTAACACTTTTGAAATGGTTGCCAAATTGAGCATATATAATTTTATGAAAAAATGTCTATATGTATGGAAAGCTAAAGGACCAACCTTTCATATGATATGAAAAAATTAAAAAAAAAATCATGCTTCGATGGACAGTGTTCACTTAAGTTAGAGGTATGAAAATGGGCCTGCGCAGGATTTTTCCTTCCAATTTTGGACAGGTAAATTACTTGTAACTTACAAAATAAGGTCGATATGAGATATTCATGATCGATGGATCAAAAGGATATTTTGAATCAAAAGGATATTTTGAATACCTCGAATACCATTCCTTTTTCAGTGTTATTTATCAATCCCGAAACACCACCGCCCACCCCCCCCCACACACACACACACACACACACACACTTCCACCCACTCCCATCTCATTGTATCATTGATCTGGTAGATGTGAACGGGATTAAGGAAGAATGGGAATTGGCTAAATTGAAATATTCCAAATCATAATTGACATTACGCAACCCACTGTCCTCCCCCTCCCACACACACACACACACACACACACACACACACACACACAACCTTCTTCCCATCCTCTCACCTACTCCTTGCTTTTTTATCAGTTTTCTTCCGAAAGTTTGGTGGATCATTTTTTCCATTAATAATCAAATTAACCAGTCACTCATTTTGATCATTGAAATCAATCGATAAATCACTGAAACATTAATTCCATCAAGCAATTGCTCAAACCAATTATCACACGCACACAAACCACACACACACGCACGTACACACACACACATATACGCGCACACACATACACACACGTGCACACACACACACACACACATTAGGGCAGACATGACAAAAAACAAGTTAAATCTTTTTTTAAAAGATTTTCATGTTTCTTTTATTTCTTTCTTATTTAAAACTGCTTTGTTCATCTTAAAATGAAAGATCTGACAAAAGTAATCAGTTCAGTAGTCCACATGGCTATCTTTTCTTCTTGATTGAATATCAAGGCTTTCAAAGTACCGACTGAGTAAGGGTACCGGTAAAGATAAAAGTCTTTCACATTAATGATCGACGTGTCCACCTTCTCTCTCGATACACGATCTTGCCCGTTTCAGCATGTCCAGAACAGCTCTCCTGACTGTGGCTCTGTCTTGACGAAGGACATCAATCTCATGGGTGATTCTCTCCTTGATATCATCCAGCGTGTCGGGAGGTGTGGTGTAGACCTTGGCCTTGAGCCATCCCCACAAGAAGAAGTCGAGAGGCGTCATGTCAGGTGAACGTGGAGGCCATTCAACTTCGCGGTTGAGGGATATCACTCGATCACCGAAGAGCTGGGTGAGGCGCTCTGTGACATCCCTGGAGCGATGGCAAGGTGCCCCATCTTGCGCCCACCATACGCGTTGAAACCGTCCATTCCTGCCACGGCGATACCTTGCAACTCTATCGAGGGCAGGGACAACATGTCCATCTATCATCTGGAGATAGGCTTCACCGTTGACATTGTTGTCAAAGAAGATGGGCCCAATGATGTCCCCTCTGCCAGTGAGACCGGCCCACACCGTCACCTTGGACCGGTTGTACTTCCTTTGGTAGTCGAACTCTTCTGGAGGATGCCCTTTATCCCGGTATGCCACAAGATTGTGCGTGTTGACCTGGGCATTGAGAGCGAAACCGGACTCGTCCCCTATCAACAAGTCATCTAAGAATCGCGCCGGCCTTCGGAGTAGCCACTCACAAAATCTTGTGCGACGCTGACGATCTCCTGGGAGAAGCTCGTGTCTCTTGATCATCTGGTAAGGGTGGTAGTGAAGATCAAGTAGCGTAATCCTGTTGAAGGTGGCGTGGGGTAGATCTGTAGGGTTTCGCCGACAGCTGATGTCTCCATCCTGATGATCCTGAATGGCTTGACGAACCACTTCAATATTCTCTGCCGATCGTCCAGTCCTGAGGCGTCCTGATCTTCCTCGGTTCAGATTATGGCTCGTCCCCGTTCCCTCGTACTTGGCGACATTGCGGTACACGGTAAGACGCGAAGGGCAGCGTACATCCGGGTAGACTTGTCTGAACCTCTGACAGACTGCTGTAACATTGTTAGTTCGATGATACTCAGTTACCATGAAAGCACGCTGCTGATTTGTGAATTGGGGTCGTTCCATACTGACAACATGGCATAAGATGGACTGTTTGAAGGCTATGTAACAACTTAATGCAGTTATTTTTACTCTTAAACCTGTAATGTGTAATACCATGTTTTTGCCTCTTTGTTTTAGTATTAAACAGTGATTTTGGATAAAGAGGATTATGTAACAGTTTCTGGCTACTCAGTGTTCAGGCCAATGAAGAATAACAATGCAATGTCATACGGTATTCCATGGACAGGTGATAACAAGTTCAAATGTGGGGAAAGAGAAGGGGTCTGGTATTTTCAATGCATAATGAATGATGTACTTAGCTATTACATGTTTGGGTCATTCATAAAACCTGAATAAAATGTGATTGATGATCCACCAAACTTACGGAAGAAAACTGATAAAGAAAAGGCAAGGGGTAGGTGATGGGATGGGAAAAGGTTGTGGGGGGGAGGAGAGTGGGTTGCATAATGTCAATTATGATTTTGAATACGGTATTTCAATTTAACATTTTCCCATTCTTCCTTAATCCCGTTCACATCTACCAGATCAATGATACAATGAGATGGGAGTGGGTGGAAGTGTGTGTGTGTGTGTGTGTGTGTGGGGGGGGGGGGGGGGTGGGCGGTGGTGTTTCGGGATTGATAAATAACACTGAAAAAGGAATGGTATTCGAGGTATTCAAAATATCCTTTTGATTCAAAATATCCTTTTGATCCATCGATCATGAATATCTCATATCGACCTTATTTTGTAAGTTACAAGTAATTTACCTGTCCAAAATTGGAAGGAAAAATCCTGCGCAGGCCCATTTTCATACCTCTAACTTAAGTGAACACTGTCCATCGAAGCATGATTTTTTTTTTAATTTTTTCATATCATATGAAAGGTTGGTCCTTTAGCTTTCCATACATATCAACATTTTTTCATAAAATTATATATGCTCAATTTGGCAACCATTTCAAAAGTGTTACGTTTTTTTTGAGACACACGGTATATCATATTCAGACAACGTAATATGTCACCAGGTGCTGGACAATGCGTTGAAATTACCCGAGGTTGAATCTTTTGATAAAAAAATGTTGATAAATTATAATTATAGTTGATGGGGGTGGATTAAAAAACTCTTCGCTAAACTCAGGGAATTTATTACATAGAGAGTGAACGACGCACAAGTATGAAATAGAATGGAGAGAGAGAGAGACTATGTCTATGTATGAAAAGGAGAGAGATGTATGAGAACGAGAAGAGGAGAAAGAAATCAGGAAAAGAAAAAGAGATAGGGAAAGAAAGATGGAGACTGAATGAGATAGGGGAAGAGAAAAGAGAGATTGAGACTGGAACTTATCAAGATATAAATAATTGTGAGATAGAGTGAAGTCTGGACGAGTCAGAGACAGAAATGTACCCATTAATTTGTTACGCCATGAGTATACATGTACACACATATGCGCACACCCAACCTGGGACCCAACCTTTTATAACTAAATTTATATCCTGCATCAAAAATTTGTTGGCTTTTGATTGGTTGAGAGCTCGTCACATGACCAGAAATATTTGACCTATTTTTAGAAAGTACTATATGAGAGTACTATTATGGTTAACTATTTGGGAGTTGAATTTTTTTTTTTTTTAAATTGAATCAATTTTTTTTCTTCAAATCTTAATTTAATGATAACAATTTAAAAAAAAAAATCTTCTTAGATAAAATTGACATTTTGTTTGTTCTAAATCCCCCCCCCCCCATTTAAAAAAAAAAAAAAAAAAAAAAATTTTGATGCAG